CTTATAGTTGCAGTTGGATAAATAAACACTGACTTACAACGCCATGTATCAATTTTTCTCGACTTGAAGTATCAGACAAAAAAAAAACTTTAATAACAGCAACTAAATGAATAACCTGACATATACACCCGTACTAGAGGCATCATTCACGCATGACTCCCTCTTCCAGGTAACCAACAAGGTTCATTGGGTAGAGACATACTCAAACCAACACGCTTCACTGGAGTCGACCTACTGCTATTTTTAACCCTTTCCTCATAAAACTAAACCCATGTATATAATCAAAGTTACATCAGTCTACATCAATTACTCACTGCTATTTTTTTTTAAGATGTTACTTAGATATACTTAAGAGTGAAGTTAGTTGTGTGTGTTTTTGTAAGGTTACCAGTGAGTCGTATTCACCGTGATGGGTGGTTGTAACTTACCCGTTCGATCCTGCCACTGTGACGGTGGTATATGATTATTGTGGGAGGCCGAGCACCTGTCACACACACACACACACCACACCACACCAAACAACAACCACATACCACATCAAACACACACCACATACACATGCAACCACATACCACACCAAACAGCAAAAACACACACACACACATACACCCCCCAACCACACCCACCTAGGAACAGTGGTTAAGTCCATCAGTGGATGTATAAAGCATTCTCAAGCAACGTGGGTCAACAAAATGTTATCACCACGGTTGCTCTCACACAGTTGACTCACCGTTGTAACTCGTGACTGTGGTTCGAGAGGCCTTAGCAACAGTCAGCGATAAGAGCGAGAGAAAAAAATAGATTCATAAGCCTATTACAACTTTATTTTTACAATTCATTTTTAATCTACAAACACTATGCGACGTACAGTACAGTTCAGGTAAAGTAGGTGATAAAAAATTACTAATTGAATGGAAGCAATCAGGTGTATCAGACCACACAATCCACACCACGACTACACAAACACTACAACATATGTACCACCATCACACACTACCATCACATCCTCTCCACCATACACCACCACCACCAAACAACTCTTCCACATCCTCCCCACACACACCAGCACCACATCCTCCCCACACACCAGCACCACATCCTCCCCACACACCAGCACCACATCCTCCCCACACACCAGCACCACATCCTCCCCACACACCAGCACCACATCCTCCTCAAACAATGAGTCACAGAAGCCACCAAGGAAGCAAAGATAAATTAACGATACAAAACATCAATAAATACTCAACCTAACTTGTTGCCTCCACCAGCCTGTACGGCTAGCGAGTCACGCTGCTGTACGGCTAGCGAGTCACGCTGCTGTACGGCTAGCGAGTCACGCTGCTGTACGGCTAGCGAGTCACGCTGCTGTACGGCTAGCGAGTCACGCTGCTGTACGGCTAGCGAGTCACGCTGCTGTACGGCTAGCGAGTCACGCTGCTGTACGGCTAGCGAGTCACGCTGCTGTACGGCTAGCGAGTCACGCTGCTGTACGGCTAGCGAGTCACGCTGCTGTACGGCTAGCGAGTCACGCTGCTGTACGGCTAGCGAGTCACGCTGCTGTACGGCTAGCGAGTCACGCTGCTGTACGGCTAGCGAGTCACGCTGCTGTACGGCTAGCGAGTCACGCTGCTGTACGGCTAGCGAGTCACGCTGCTGTACGGCTAGCGAGTCACGCTGCTGTACGGCTAGCGAGTCACGCTGCTGTACGGCTAGCGAGTCACGCTGCTGTACGGCTAGTGAGTCACGCTGCTGTACGGCTAGTGAGTCACGCTGCTGTACGGCTAGTGAGTCACGCTGCTGTACTGCTCACACCCGTAATGTACAGTATCAGTGTGCGTATGGTTGTGTAGGTTTGTATTTACAGGCTGTAAATACAAATCTACACACACATACGCACACTGATACATGCGCACACACATGTATACACATGAAAATTGCTATGCCAAATTGAATCCGACTTTTACAAGACAAGTTCCATGAATTAACTATTGCGACACAGGCGAGTCACGCTGCTGTACGGCTAGCGAGTCACGCTGCTGTACGGCTAGCGAGTCACGCTGCTGTACGGCTAGCGAGTCACGCTGCTGTACGGCTAGCGAGTCACGCTGCTGTACGGCTAGCGAGTCACGCTGCTGTACGGCTAGCGAGTCACGCTGCTGTACGGCTAGCGAGTCACGCTGCTGTACGGCTAGCGAGTCACGCTGCTGTACGGCTAGCGAGTCACGCTGCTGTACGGCTAGCGAGTCACGCTGCTGTACGGCTAGCGAGTCACGCTGCTGTACGGCTAGTGAGTCACGCTGCTGTACGGCTAGTGAGTCACGCTGCTGTACGGCTAGTGAGTCACGCTGCTGTACTGCTCACACCCGTAATGTACAGTATCAGTGTGCGTATGGTTGTGTAGGTTTGTATTTACAGGCTGTAAATACAAATCTACACACACATACGCACACTGATACATGCGCACACACATGTATACACATGAAAATTGCTATGCCAAATTGAATCCGACTTTTACAAGACAAGTTCCATGAATTAACTATTGCGACACAGGTGTACAGCAGGCCAGATACACACGCACACTCACTCAAGCGCGCACATCCCACCCCAGCTGTTTACTGATGTGACGTCATCCCCCCACACCTGTAGTCCTCATGAACCAGCGTATCAATACCAGGTAGATATACAGTATAATGAAACTAAGTACAGAATTTAATGTTCGTGTACAGTAATGTTAAATTCATGTACAGTGCAGCTAAGTATAATACAGCTAAATTCATGTACATTGCAGCTAAGTTAAGTACAGTACAGCTAAGTAAGTTCAGTACAGCTAAATTCAAGCATAGTACAGCTAAGTCATGTACAACACAGTGCTACGAACATCACCACCAACACATGCCACAACTAACAGGTCTCGACACAATTCCCCCCCACCTGTCAACAAACTACACACCTCATTCCACCCAACACATGTACTAGCCCACTCTAGCACATAGCCAACAAATTACAGGAAAATCGTATACAACAAATAAGGAATAAACTCGTGCACACAAGTTCCCAACTCATCTCGGGTCAACAAATCCGTTTTTAAACTGACTCTCCAACACGTTTTCTTAACCAGCAAATTGCCTCCAACACATCCTCCAACAAATTCCGCCGACTCTTCCAATAAACTCCACCACCTCCTCCAAAAAAACACAAGCCTTCCACCCATCTCTAACAAACACCACCATCACTATCTCCAACAACCACTCCCTTTTCACCAACAGTTACTACCACCATCACCTCCAACATACAGCAGCAGTGTCTGCGGCCTTGTAATGAAAGCTTAAAATCCTCTGACCTTCTGCCTGGTGAATTATTGAACGGCTTACCAATGGATGGGTCTCTCTCTCTCTCTCTCTCTCTCTCTCTCTCCTTTTCGTTTTTCACACAACGTGAGAAGAAAAAACAAACATATTTAGCGATTTTTTTTATCTTTTGGTAAGTTGTTCTAGCTGTGTTCAGTGACCCCAATTGTCCGCCTATACTGACACTACTGACGATGTTGAACACGCGAGGGAGAATATAGTCACTATGTTTTATCACCTCAATTTCCACTTTTGGTGACCTGACCTGACTCAAACCAAACCAGGCCCATAATGTTTGAACGCGTGTGAGGGATACTGCCCCCCCCCCCACTCCAATGAATGATTCACTTTTCATCCACACTTATTATTCTTATTATTATTATTATTATTATTAATTTTTCGCCTCATGTGGACGATGACTCAGGCCAGTTATTCTACCTGTATGGCCATTAAACTCCACCTGGTTTACCTGTGTGTATGCTGCAGGGGAGAAGAGGGAGGGGAGAGAAGGTCAGGGATGGAAGGTGATGAGGGGAGAGAGAAGAGGAGGGGAGAAAGGAGGGAGAGGAGGAAGGGGAGAGAGCAGAGGATGAGAGGGGGAGAGATGAGGGGCCCCCAGTTGGCAGGTGATAAAAGGAACATGAATGTCGGGATGGAACTGAGGAGGAAAATTAACTCCGTCAGTGAGTGAGCGAGTCAACCGAGGTAAAGTTGGGTCACGTTAGGATAGACTAAGAAAGTATAGAATTGGGTTGGGTTAGGTTAGGTTACATCATGCCACGTGCCTCTCTCTCTCTCTCTCTCCTGTAGTCTATCTTGCAAGAAAATATTCCATCACTCCCACCATCAGCCTGACCGAGCACCACACGGATGTAAATTTCAACCTGAATAAGAACGCAGGAGGAGGTGATGACGCCGCCGGTGAAGTAGAACATCAAGGGCAGTGAGGTTGGCACTGGAGGGGGGGGGGCACCTTCACCCCCCTCACGATAGAACACAAACGCCACACACTCCGGGGGTAAACAAAGGCAGAATATCACGACCACTGAATTCGTGCGGTATAGATTGTGGCGATACAATACTGAAGACCTGTCGTGTTTATAGTACCTGGACACGCGGATACCTGGACATGGGGACGCCTGGACATGGGGAGACACAGGGACATCCGACACACTCAAGGTATGGTGGGGAATAAAAACATAGCTACGTAACGGAGACGAAATAATTAAAAAAAAAGTTACGACACACCGACAGACAGACAGACAGACAGACAGACAGACACACAAAGCTCGATAATCGTCTCAGGTGATCCAAGAATGTGTTCTACTTAACCTTTAACACACCATCACACTTAACTCCTCTTAACACACCCTACAACACAACATCAACACCTAAACACACCCTACAACACCTAAACACACCCTACAACACACCCTACCTAAAGTGTGTTGGGCGGGATGTGGAAGGACAAGAACCAACAGGTATTCATCAATATGCCTCCCAACACACTCAGCGAGGTAAAATGAAGTCATCAATAGCCGTAATAAGAGATAAAGGAGGTCAACATAAGCACGCTCCTCCTCCCGGATCTTCCTCCTTCAAAGACGCTTCTCCTTCCTCCCTTTAAGATGGTTTTCCTCTTCCTCCTCCCTAGATGCCCTTTATTCTCCCCCAAGATGCCTTTTCCTCCTCCCAAGATGCCCTTTTTTCTCCTCCCAAGATGCCTTTTCCTCCTCCCAAGATGCCTTTTCCTCCTCCCAAGATGCCTTTTCCTCCTCCCAAGATGCCTTTTCCTCCTCCCAAGATGCCTTTTCCTCCTCCCAAGATGCCTTTTCCTCCTCCCAAGATGCCTTTTCCTCCTCCCAAGATGCCCTTTATTCTCCCCCAAGATGCCTTTTCCTCCTCCCAAGATGCCTTTTCCTCCTCCCAAGATGCCTTTTCCTCCTCCCAAGATGCCTTTTCCTCCTCCCAAGATGCCTTTTCCTCCTCCCAAGATGCCTTTTCCTCCTCCCAAGATGCCTCCTCCACACTTCGAGGAGCTGTACTAGGCACCTTACTGACACACAAATATGGCGATTATAAATGGGGTCAAAATGGTACGTTAGACTATACTGTGTTGATATTACTTACACACACACACACCAATGTCCACCCGCATACACATCCACACTCACATCCACACTCACTCACTTTTGGTCTTTAGGGCGGCTGTAAAGGGTAAGAAAAATAATATAAAATAAAACGCAAGAAAATGCATAGCAAACAGCACATGTTCGCCGGGTGTGGGTTTGGGTGTAGGTCAAGTGTGGGTGTGGGTGTGGGTTTGGCTGTAGGTCAAGTGTGGGTGTAGGTGTGGGTGTGGGTTTGGGTGTAGGTGTGGGTGTAGGGTTGGCTGTAGGTCAAGTGTAGGTGTGGGTGTGGGTGTGGGTTTGGGGTGTAGGTGTGGGTGTAGGGCTGGTTGGGGTCAAGTGTAGGTGTGGGTGTGGGGTGTAGGTGTGGGTGTAGGTGGGTGTAGGGTTGGTTGTGGTCAAGTGTAGGTGTGGGTGTGGGTGTAGGTGTAGGTGTAGGTGCGGGTGTAGGGTTGGTTGTAGGTCAAGTGTAGGTGTGGGTGGGTGTGGGTGTAGGTGTGGGGTTGGCTGTAGGTTGGCTGTAGGTGCGGGTGTAGGGGTTGGCTAGGTGTGGGTGTAGGGTTGGCTGTAGGTGCGGGGTGTAGGGGTTGGCTGTAGGTGCGGGTGTAGGGTTGGCTGTAGGTGCGGGTGTAGGGTTGGCTGTAGGTGCGGGTGTAGGGTTGGCTGTACGTGCGGGGCCAGGAACGGGGGCAGGAACGGGGCCGGGGCAGGAACGGGGCCGGGGCAGGAACGGGGCCGGGGCAGGAACGGGGCCGGGGGCAAGAACGGGGACAAATACCCTCTATAAATTCTGACAAAATGGAATACAAAATAAAACTTACAACTCCGGAGTGTGTAGGTGTAGTGGGGTGTAGTGGGGCAGGTGTAGTGGGGCAGGTGTAGTGGGGCAGGTGTAGTGGGGTATACATTTAGTGTGTAGTTATAGGGTGTCACTACAGGAAGCAGATGAACCAACATCAACGCGCCACTACAAGGTTAAGGAGTGCCAGACGCTGTTGGCTGCCCGTGGTGGTGGCACTGGTGGTGGTGGTGCAGTACACGATAACCTAACCCCACTTGCTGACAGCCCCCACGTACACACACTGACCAGAATATGTAAATGCTTCCAGTGTTAAAAAATTGTCCTCCTGGTGATGGGAATATATTTAAACGTTAGGTCCTTCATACAAGCTACCATTGAAAACAAAGAAACCAAGATGGCGTCATAATCCCACTAAGACTATACGAGTACTGAACTGTTTAACCCTGACTGAAAAACGGGATAAACAAAAATGGCGTCGGTATTACACTGAGACTCCAGCATGAGATAAGGATGTACCGTGGCGCTCGCCTATAGGATACTAGACGACTTATCCTACTAACACAGGATGTCAGGCAGGATATTTAATCTGCCCGGTGTTTCTCAGGATCGGGCTGGGACAGTATTTGAGTGGGCGTGGGTGGGGAGTGGGCGTGGGTTGGGTGCATGCATGGGTGGGCTGGAAGTAGGCGTGGGTGGGCTGGGACAATAATGAAGTATGCGTGGGTGGGATGGGGAGTGGGTGGGATGGGGAGTGGGTGGGATGGGGAGTGGGTGGGATGGGGAGTGGGTGGGGGTTAGGTGTGGACGTGGGTGGTCTGGGAATCAGCTAGGACAGTGCTGGGAAAACCTAAGATGGAGCTGAGAGAGTACAAAGGTGAGAGCAGTGTGAGAGGGGCCCCAGCTGCCCTCCCTGACGTCAGACATGTGAGAAGCTCCCACCAGTTATCTTCTGTGGAAACTTCTTCACACTCCCTACCTCCCTCACCATCAATCACTGTGACCTCCCCATCACTCACTGTCACCTCCCCATCCCCTACTGTCATCTCCGTTCCTTACTGTCACCTCTCCCTCCCTCACTGTCACCTCTCCCTCCCTCACTGTCACCTCTCCCTCCCTCACTCACCTCTCCCTCCCTCCTCCTCCCTCCTCCCATCCCTCACTGTCACCTCCCATCCTCATTGTCACCTCCCATCCTCATTGTCACCTCCCCCATCTCTCACTGTCACCTCCCATCCCTCACTGTCACCAACCTCCCTCCCTCCCTATCCCCACTGTCATCTCCGTCCCTCACTGTCATCTCCGTCCCTCACTGTCACCTCCGTCCCTCACTTCCTCCGCATCCCTTACTGTCATCTCCGTCCCTCATTGTCACCTCCCCCATCCTCACTGTCACCTCCCTCCCTCCCTCACTGTCACTCCCCATCCCTCACTGTCACCACCCTCCCACCCTCACCTAGAATGTACGTGTTCTCCTTTCAGTACACACACATACCTACTGACACCCCCCCCATCCCCCACCGAGGCGTGAATTTGTTTAGGTGCAGAAGCTGTCGCAAACGACCGGTATGACCCAGTGTCAAGGAATAATCCGAGAAACCGGACAACTCGCCAACTGCACTGGCTAACCATTACTCCAGAACATCGATCGGCAAATCGATTAACATCCAGGTCCCCAATTACTGGTGGGTAGACAGAGGCAAATGGCGTATAAAAACTTGCCCATAATTTCACCCAGCCCGGTGCTCGAACCCGGGTCCATTCGCTTGCGAGGCAGACACACCTACCTGGCAAACCTTACACACACACACACACACACACACACACACACACACACACACACATATATATAAAGAGGACAAAAAGCCAGACCCGGAACTGCCTTATTTCTAAAGGTCACTCAGCCACTGTCCAGCATACACTGACCACTGAACATATTTTCCAGATTTAAGTCGTCCACAGAAAAGGTTAATGGAAACAGACGCTAAGGTCCCCATTACCTTAAGTGTATTTAATGGTGCTCCAATTTTCCACTCACCATTTACAGTTAACTGTCTAATTTACTTATAAGACACTGCCTATTACTGAAAGAACGTTGCCTTTTACACACAGATCACTTACCCATTTACAAGCCATACACTCACCACCACCACAACAACCACCATCAACATTAAGAGAAAAAAAAACTCTCCTAAATATCATCACCTCAGAGTCTTTCATCTGAAGATTAAGCACCCTAACCCTAATCTAACGCTAATCTAACCAAACCTAACATAACTTACTTTCTATGCTGGACCTGCTGAGGTTATTTACATCAACGACATTTAAAGGGTAAATATTCTAAGTTGACCTTCTGCCATATTACCCAAACCTCTGTGTATGTGTGTATGTATGTATGTATGTATGTATGTATGTATGTATGAATGAAGTTGTGTATGGTACAGTATGTATGTATGAAGTTGTGTATGGTACAGTATCTATCTATGTATGTATGTGTGTGTATACTTATAACACTACACAATTCAATACATGGTTTACAACGCATCAAAAAGTCGACGCTTCAAATTTGCCTCACCACAGTGCTACACACGAACTACAACTTAGCTAGAAGTCCTTTATTTACTCATCATCTCTGCGAAATCTGACCCCCTCCCCCCCCCATCACGAAATCTGGCCCCCCTCCCCCCATCACGAAATCTGACCCCCTCATCCCCCCTCTCACGAAATCTGAGCCTCCTCTCACCAAGAAATCTGAACCCCCTCTCACCACTATAACCCCTCAAATCCTAACACACCTGTACAGAGAGTATACCTGTGATGATAAATTACGTCTCCTATTGAAACTATGTAAAGTATATAGTCATTAGGTGCCCTTTCAAAACCACGTCATGATCACTCCCAAGGTTTTATCCACGTCGTTTCCTTTATAAACTATATTGTCCCGTTTCAGTTTAATCTAAGGTACAGTAACTATAAAAAAAAAACTATACAAAATTGTGTTGAGAAAATATGACAATGGACGAAGTATTTTGACAACAGTAGCCCTTAGTAGCATTCATTGTGAAATTCATCGATTACACCCCAAGTAGCGATAGTTTCTTGAGTGTCTGTACTTAGTGGGGTATTTTTTTTATACTTATTTGTCTCTTTTAAAGTAACAGGTAGACTTGGATTCTCAATATGACGTAAATAGATTTCTTTCTCAATGCCAGATTCGATATAAACAAAATGGCAGCAAATACGAAGAATGACAAACATTATCGTAGGGTGGGGGTGTGGGTGGGTGTGGGTGTGTGGGTGGGTGTGGGTGTGTGGGTGGGCGTGTGCGTGTGGGTGGGCGTGTGCGTGTTGGTGGGCGTGTGCGTGTTGGTGGGCGTGTGCGTGTTGGTGGGCGTGTGCGTGTTGGTGGGCGTGTCCTCTCTTTAAATTACGACAGAATAATTAACGTAAGGTGGGACTTTAAGAATCCGACTGACACAGACATAGAGATAGGTTAACGATAAAATAATACCTGCAACAATTACTGGGACAGAAGAAGGAGTATAGTTGAGGTAGTGACTTGGTATAATTTAGACAACATTTTTTTTGCTATTTAAGTTTGTGAATTGTTTATGGGGTTCGGTTCAGTTCAGTTCAGTTCAGTTCAGTGTGTGTGTGTGTGTGTGTGTAATTAAAATATTTATATAGTGAGTCCTGGGCCTAAAAAAAAAATAAATCTACCCTTGAACTTAAAACAAATAAAAAAATTAGGTGTAAATTTTTTCCTACACAGTTAATCCAACATCACCATGACTTTTAGGCGCACGCGCACACACACACACACACACACTACTGTAAAAACCCACCTTAATAATAGCAGAGGAGAAAAATTTAACATAGGAGCCTCAGGAAATTACTGATAATGCCATTACAAACGTAGCATCACGTGAAGATTAAGCAGCCGAGTATACTTAACCTGAAGATTAAGCAACCAAGCTTATTTTACATGAAGATTAGGCACCCCAGTTTATTTTACATGAAGATTAGGCACCCCAGCTTATTTCACCCCCAAATTAGGCATCCCACACACACAAAACAAAAACAACGAACAAAAACAACTCACTCTTGCGGAAAAGAAATCACTTAATATTTCACAACTCAAACAGAAATAATGTCTCATGATATTTGCACCTAACAGTTCTTGCCATGACTGACCAGAATTCCCTCCTCACCCCCCCCATTATTTTTTCCCTCCTTCTTGACCAGGTGTTGCAAGATGGCGGTGTGTCGAGAGGTGTGCTGGGTAGGGGGCTGCTACTGATGTGTAACCCCGAGTAGAAGGTCGACTTAAAATGCGTAGTTAGGAAGGGGGGTTCTTTTTAGAATGGCTGATGTGTACTGCTGGGTTTGAAAGGTCGACTTAAAATGCGTAGTTAGGAAGGGGGGTTCTTTTTAGAATGGCTGATGTGTACTGCTGGGTTTGAAAGGTCGACTTAAAATGCGTAGTTAGAAATGAAGGACATTGTTACGCTTTGAGATACGTATAGTAAATTAGGTTGATGCGTAGTTATTATTGACTAAAAATGCGTAGTTAGGATGCGTGTACTTACCCATTTAAGGAAAAATCTATCTTCCTACCTCGTTATTGATTCGTCTTACGGTAATATTATCCTTTGGTCTTTCATGCCTACTGTTGATAATTATTAAATGTTGTTGGGGATGTGGAAGACTGCTGTGTCACGCTGATGGAAGGTCGACTTGATAATGCGATGTTACGGTGAATTTCCCTTCATTTTTTTTTCTCAATCTAGTTGTGAACTCTCAAGGTGTGCTAATTCAATGTCGCCTTCTCCTCCTCTTCCTCCTCTTTTCTCCTCCTCCTCCTTACTAGAGGGTATGTGCACTGTTACATCATATTGACTGCAACCTGACCGTATAATAGAAGCTTGACTTGTGTGTGTGTGTGTGTGTGTGTGTGTAACTTTGAAACGAATATTAACTTT